GGTTGAGAGGCAGTGGGGGGGGGGAGGAGCGCGGGGGCGGGGAGCTGGGGGGTGACACACCTCAGATGGGGAAACCCCTGATGCAACTTACTGCACTTCCCGATCTGGAGCCATGGCTCCAAGCCCTTTCCCTCCCTTGTTAGATTCTGACCCTTGGCCCCAAGAAGTTCTCTAGACAGGTTCCCAAACAGCTTCCTACCTCATTCTTTAGTCTGGGAGCTTCATCGTTCCCTTGCTAAAGATCTTACTTTATATGCAAATCGCACTCAGTCTGCCAACTGCAGGTTAGAAAAACTGCTTCTCCTAGAGGTGCGGGTGCTGTAGGAGCCAGTTTCATTGGGGTGGCTGAATGGAAGTGACACCAGACAACCTTATTTAATGTTGGTCCTTTTTTTATTATTGTTATTCTAGTTATCTCCTGAAGAGGAAGAGAAACGGAGAATCCGAAGGGAAAGGAATAAGATGGCTGCAGCCAAATGCCGGAATCGGAGGAGGGAACTGACTGATACTCTCCAAGCGGTAGGTAGAGCCTGATGGCTACTTCTCAAACTTCAAAGTTGGAGTTTGGGACTAAGGGATCAGGGTCCTTGAGCGAGACCTTGTCTTATGCTTTTCTTCATCTTTCCTTGTGCAGGAGACAGACCAACTTGAAGACGAGAAGTCTGCATTGCAGACTGAGATTGCCAATCTGCTCAAAGAGAAGGAGAAACTGGAGTTCATTTTGGCAGCCCACCGACCTGCTTGCAAGATCCCGGATGACCTGGGCTTCCCAGAAGAGATGTCTGTGGCTTCCCTGGATTTGACTGGGGGTCTGCCTGAGGCCACTACCCCAGAGTCCGAGGAGGCCTTCTCACTGCCTCTTCTCAATGACGCTGAGCCCAAGACATCACTGGAGCCAGTCAAGAGCATCAGCAATATGGAGCTGAAGGCTGAGCCCTTTGATGACTTCTTGTTCCCACCATCATCCAGGCCCAGTGGCTCTGAGACGACGGCCAGATCTGTGCCAGACATGGACCTATCCGGTTCCTTCTACGCAGCAGACTGGGAGCCTCTGCACAGTAGCTCCCTGGGGATGGGGCCCATGGTCACAGAGCTGGAGCCCCTGTGTACCCCGGTGGTCACCTGTACTCCCAGCTGCACAACTTACACGTCTTCCTTTGTCTTCACCTACCCCGAGGCTGACTCCTTCCCCAGCTGTGCAGCTGCCCACCGAAAGGGCAGCAGCAGCAACGAGCCCTCCTCTGACTCGCTCAGCTCACCCACACTGCTGGCCCTGTGAGCAGTCAGGGAAGGGGAGGCAGTCGGCGTCTAGAAATGCCACTGCCTGAGCTGGTGCATTGCAGAGAGGAGAAACACGTCTTCCCTCGAGGGTTCCTGTAGACCTAGGGGAGGACCTTATCTGTGAGTGAAACACACCAGGCTGTGGGCCTCCAGGACTTGAAAGCATCCTCCTCTGGACTCAAGTCCTCACCTCTTCCGGAGATGTAGCAAAAAACAAAAAACAAAAAACAAAAACCGCATGGAGTGTATTGTTCCTAGTGACACCTGAGAGTTGGTAGTTAGTAGCATGAGAGCCAGGCCTGGGTCTGTCTCTTTTCTCCTTCTCCTTAGTCTTCTCATAGCATTAACTAATCTGTCGGGTTCATTATTGGAATTAACCTGGTGCTGGATATTTTCGGATTGTATCTAGTGCAGCTGATTTTAACAATACCTACTGTGTTCCTGGCAATAGCGTGTCCCAATTAGAAATGACCAATATTAAACTAAGAAAAAAATAGAACTTTATTTTCCAGTAGATAGAACTAAGTAGCTATATCCATGTACTGTAGTTTCTCTTCAGCGTCAATCTTCATCGTGATGTCACTGATCATGCATTGTTGAGGTGATCTGAATGTGCTGACATTAACAGTTTTCCATGAAAACGTTTTTATTGTGTTTTCACTTTATTTATTAAGATGGATTCTCAGATATTTATATTTTTATTTTATTTTTTTCTATCCTGAGGTCTTTCGACATGTGAAAAGTGAATAGGAATGAAAAACTTAAGCATTGTTTGCTTATTGTTCCAAGACATTGTCAATAAAAGCATTTAAGTTGAATGCGACCACCTTGTTGCTCTCTTTTGTTCAGAGGGTTACGTATGGTTTCTGGAAGGTGTTTGAAGGCATTTGTGGAGACCAGTTTGTCAAGATGGGTAGGTCCTGGAAGGAGACACACCTCTGTCTGTTCCCTTATCACACAGAAGGAAACGCTAGTTCTGGATATTTGACAGATACGTGTGTTCATATTGCATTGCTAAGATTTTCTACCTATCTGCCCTGGGGGCTGAAAGCTGCGTGTAACAGCTTGAGCAAGGCCACACCTTCATGCTTCTCTTTTCTGCTTTCTGAGGGGAGTGGTCTTAAATTTATGTGCTCATCTTACATTTAGCAGTTTTCATGGGAAAGGAATCCTTTGAACAGAGAACCAGTTCTATAAAAACTATTTTTGCTTTTTTTTTTTTTTTTTTTGTATTGTTTGAGATAGGATCTTGCTAGGTAGCCCAGGGTGGCCTCAAACTCACAGTAATCTTCTTGCCTCAGGCTCGTCAGTGCTGGTTATTACAGATAACCAGTAAATTAAGCTTTCTATTCCCACAAAATCATGTGAAGGTTTACTCTTATCTTAAAAGCCAGTGAGTTGAAGAATGGCTGAAATAAATGACCTTCCACACTGCAAACCATGTCGCCACTTCCCACGCTTGCCCACCTATTAGGCTCAACTGCCTCTTTATTTAAAATTAAGTTTTAAAATTATATTTATTAATATGTGGGAGGCATTCACGCACCATGGCACTTGAGGTCACAGGACAAACTCCAGAAGCAGTGGTTCCTGGGGATTGAACTCAGGTTGTCAGGCATGGTGACAAGCACCTTTACCCATGAAGATATCTTGCCAGCTCTGAAATTCCTCCTCCTCCTTTTTCTTTCTTTCTTTCTTTCTTTCTTTCTTTCTTTCTTTCTTTCTTTCTTTTTCCTTTTTTTCTTTTGGTGTGTTTATTTTATGTGTTAGAATGTTTGGGGGGAACATATGTCTATGCAACATGTGCATGCAGTGCCCAGAGAGGCCAGAAGAGGGCGATGGGTCCCTTGGAACTGGAGTTAAGAGACCATGGTTTTAGCCTCCATGCCAGTGCTGGGAACCTGAACCTGGGTTCAGGTGCTTTTAATTGCTGAGCCATCTCTCCAGCCCTTCTGAACTGCCTCTTAAGACTTGGCTTTAAGAGTTTTCCCTTGAGTAGGGTACACCTTTAATCCCAGCACTTGGGAGGCAGAGTCAGTGTATATCTGTGAATTTGAGGGCAGCTTGGTCTACAAAGCAAAATCCAAGACAGGCAAAGCTTTTACACTGAAAAACCCTGTCTTGTAAAACCAAAAAAAGTTTTCCCTTGGTTAAAAACAGCAGCAATTTTTCAAGTGTTTATTTTTGAGATAGGTCTAATGCGGTCAAGTTTGGCTCTGAACTCCTGATCTTTCTGGTTATATCTTTCAAGTGCTGGAATTATAGGCATACATCACCATACCTGGCTCACTCTAACATACCTTCATTTAGTCAACCCTTTTTATTCTCAGAATGAGGAAATTGTCCTACAGCACAGCGGAAACCAAATTCTAATTTCTGAAGTTATTTTAACACCATGTACAATTCAGATTACAGTTGAGGGAGCTGACAATTCAAAGACCTCAAGCAGCATTAATAATGGCTGACCATTCTGTAAATAATAGTTACATAATAGCTCAGCAGGGAGACATCAGGAGACGCTGAATAAGCTCTAGCTTAGAAAGTTTATCGTCTCAAAGAACACGACCTTTGTCTGGGATGCTCTGGTAAGGTTGCTGTCACTGGCACATGAACAAACCACAATGAAAGGAGACTGAACCCCACCCTTTGCTCCCAAGTCCTGGGTGGAAGAGGAGCTTCCGGGTCATTAGTGGTAATGAAAATGACTTGGTGGCCATGATGGACCTCAAACTCTCTCTAGTCACATTTTAATTTCAATGACAGTTCTATTACACTTGAGCTGTTGCTCTTGCCGTAATGATTAACACTTCAACTCATTCAAGCCTCCCTAGAACATTCAAGCCTCTCTAGAACACCCCTTGCCCACTGCTTTTGCCAGTCCTGAATTAAGAGTGGTCTTGTTGGTACACCAGCAATCCCAGGGCTGAGCTGTGGTGATATATTATTTATCATTTATTAAAGCTTGCCTGAGGGTGTAGAAAGCCAAGCAGCTGGCCACTAGCTCTTACCTCTACCCCAGGCTGAATGGGCTGTCCGGTTCTCAGCGTGGCTGGAGAATAAATTGGCCCAATCTAAAAGAGAAACAGCTCATAGAAAGGTGATCTCAGCACTAGGGATCAAACACCTTTAATCCCAGGATTTGAGGTGTGTAAAAGGAAGAACCAAAGGGTCTCACGTGAGATTTATTCTCCAGCCTCGATGAGAACCAGACAGCCCTTTCAGCCTGAGGTAGAGGTAAGAGCTAGTGGCCAGCTGCTTTACTTTCTGTACCCCCAGGCAAGTTTTAGTAAATCATAAATAATATATCACCACACTGAGGTGAGAGGCTCACCTTAAGTTCTGGGTTACACTGTGAGAGCCTATATAAATAAAAAGCAATGTAAAAAAATTGTTAGATTCATTACTTGCTGCTTAAAGGGTAAATATCCTTAAATGTGATCTCTAGAATTACTGTAATGCTTCTAAGGGACCAGTGAGCTCCTTAATGTGTGGTGATAACAACATGAAAGAGATTTCCAAGATAGGGAAGGGCAGCACAGGAAAGTAGCTTGCCCTGGGGCCTTACTAATGGTCCTGGCACCCAAACTGGCTATGTAAGAAGAGCATCACTTTTCCTTTACTTCCATCACAGCCTTGACACAAACCCTTCTTCTAGTTTACCACGGCCCAGGCCACACTCCATCCACAGGAGACAGGAGAGCACTGAAGTTCTAGAAGACAGAGTCTCTAAAAGGCTTCTCAAAGTTCATAGGATTCCCCCACAGCACTGTCACCTTCCAAGTTCCTGCCAGCTACTTCCCTGTCTACCCAAAGCACTCCTTCCAAATCCCTCAATAACTCCTGAGGATGATTGACATTAGAAATGCCAACTGTCTTTGGGGAAACACCTCCATCCCTGCTCAGAAGATGAAGCCTCAAACTGGTTGAAATAACTACCTGATGGCTTCATAGCACTAACATTGGTACGGACTTGCACACTCAACAGAAAGGACTAAATACTGGGGTCGTTTGCTTTTGGGGACCATGTATAGTCTGACCTACCAGTGGATTCTGAGAGCTAGTTCAGAACTATAGTACAGGGTTAATGAACATTTTGCTCAGTGCGTGAATAAGTAAATCCTTACACCTTTTGGACAACCAGAAAGGTAGTCTGTGCAAACTCTGTAACTTCTGTTGCAGTCCTGTGTCTCCCCACCCCCTCTGTAGGATATTAGGCAATAGGAATGTTGCATCTTTTACATCTGGCTGCAAACACACACCCCACTTTGATCCTTCATTTCTGGAATTCCTTCATTGCCTCCCCTGGATTCCTTCTGCCACTTCAGCAAAGTGAATTTGCAACTGTGTGCTGACTGAAATTAATTTTAGATGGTAGAAGAAAAGATAGATATCTTTTCAGAATAGCAGACAACAGGCTCCACACCATATTTGCACACCCCTACATCTCAGGCAATTACCAAAATTAAAGGGAAGCTCTTTTTGTTCCAATAACAGTTATTTTGTAACAACAGTAATTCCCATAAGTGAGTGTAAGTAAATCAATCGTGCTATGTTGAATTAAGGGATAAAGTCTAAGACACAGCAAAAACTCTAAGATGGTTACTCTAAGCAAATGATCTGAAGTTGGATGTCTCTGAATGTCTAAAAGAAACAATGTCTAGAAAAGAAACAAAAACAAAAGCAGCCTTTAAACTGTGCAAGATTCTTCGCAAACAGTTCCTCACAGGCTAAGGGCTGGGGTGGCCTTTGAAGGCTGAATAGCAGGCGCTTTCAATTGCGCTGGGTTTGCTATTAACATTAAAGAGCTGACCCTTGATTCTTCTTCGGTTCCCCTCAAGTCCCCATACTCTGTAAACACACAGTTCACGGGACTTCCTTCCATACTGGACACATCTAGCACGCATTCCTTCAACGGGGTATTTTTTGTGCTGCTGGGCCTCTACCGAGGCCTCTTTGCCCAACTGGCTACTTCTTGACATTCAGGGCTCAGCTCAAAGT